TCCGATTGCGATGGGTGATGTCTGTGTTATAGTGGGCATGGATTGGTTGAGCCGATTCGGTGCGGTTATCGATTGCGAGCGTCAGCTGGTGACTATACGAGATCCTAGTGGGGGAGTTCTTTCGGTGTACGGCGAGGGTACACGTTCTGGATCGGCCTTTTGTTCGGCTGCTAGGGCGAGGCAGTGTTTACAGCAGGGCTATAAGGGTTATGTAGCGTATGTGATGGATACGCGAGTGATCTCAGAGAGACCGAGCTCTGTGGATGCAGTTCCGGTGGTGCGTGAGTTTCCTGACGTCTTTCCCGAAGAGTTACCAGGTGTGCCTCCCGTGAGGCAAGTGGAGTTTGGCATCGATTTGGTTCCTGGAGCCGCGCCTATTGCTAAAGTGCCGTATCGCCTTGCGCCTCCAGAGATGCAGGAGTTATCCTCGCAACTTCAGGAGTTGCTGGGGAAGGGGTTTATTCGGCCGAGTAGCTCGCCGTGGGGAGCACCCATCCTGTTTGTGAAGAAGAAGGATGGCTCGCATCGCATGTGTATTGATTACCGGGAATTGAATAAGCTGACGGTCAAGAACCGTTACCCGCTGCCGAGGATCGACGATTTATTCGATCAGCTACAGGGAGCATCTTGGTTCTCCAAGATTGATTTGAGGTCGGGCTATCATCAGGTGAGAGTGCGGGACGAGGACGTCCAGAAGACAGCATTCAGGACGCGTTATGGGCATTATGAGTTTGTGGTGATGCCTTTTGGGCTCACCAATGCCCCGGCTGTGTTCATGGACCTCATGAACAGGGTATGTCGGCCGATGTTAGATCGGTCGGTGATTGTATTCATTGATGACATTCTGGTATATTCGAGATCTAGAGAGCAGCACGAGGAGCATTTGAGGGAGGTTCTTGGAGTTTTGAGATCGGAGAAACTTTTCGCAAAGTTTTCCAAGTGCGATTTCTGGTTGCGGGAGGTCCAGTTTCTGGGACATCTCGTTAACCAGAAGGGGATATTGGTCGATCCGGCCAAGGTTGACGCGGTGATGAGGTGGGAGGTGCCAAGGTCACCTTCTGAGATCCGGAGTTTCCTTGGGTTGGCAGGGTATTACCGGAGGTTTATTAAGGATTTCTCCAAGATTGCGGTTCCACTCACCAGATTGACCCGGAAGGGTGTTACATTTTCATGGGGTCCTGAGCAGCAGACCTCCTTTGAGATGCTTCGCCAGAGGTTGTGTGAAGCTCCGGTATTAGCTCTTCCGGAAGGAATGGAAGGGTTTGTGGTATTCTGTGATGCATCGATTCTAGGACTGGGAGCGGTTTTGATGCAGAAGGGTCATGTGATAGCATATGCATCGAGGCAGTTGAAGCCTCACGAGACGAGGTACCCCACACATGATTTGGAGTTGGGGGCAGTGGTGTTCGCCCTCAAGATTTGGCGGCACTACTTGTATGGGGTTCGTTGTACGATTTACACGGACCATAAGAGTTTGAAGTACTTGATGGATCAGCCTAACCTAAATATGCGGCAGAGAAGATGGTTAGACGTGGTCAAGGATTATGATTGCGAGATCTTGTACCACCCGGGCAAGGCTAATGTGGTAGCCGACGCATTGAGTCGCAGGGCGGAGAGTACTCCACTGCGAGATGTATGTTTGAGATTGACCGTGATAGCTCCAGTTCTGGACGCCATTCGTGGGGCTCAGGCCGAGGCCGTGCGTCCGGAGATGCAGAAGAGAGAGCGGGTTGTTGGGTTGGTTTCTGAGTTTATATCGGATAGTCGAGGCCTTATGACTTATCAGGGCAGGATCTGGGTACCGTTTGTGGGCGGTACACGTGCTACATTGATGGAGGAGGCTCATAGATCGAAATTTTCAATCCATCCCGGGGCCACGAAGATGTATTTGGACCTAAGAAAGGAGTATTGGTGGCCTTGTATGAAGAGGGACGTAGCATGGTTTGTCGAGAGGTGTTTGACCTGTCGAAGGGTAAAGGCCGAACACCAGAGACCGCATGGCAAGTTGCAGCCATTGGAGGTTCCCGAGTGGAAGTGGGAACAGATCACTATGGACTTTATCACCAAATTGCCGAGGACTGCCAGAGGAGTTGATGCAATTTGGGTGATTGTGGATAGGTTGACAAAGAGCGCTCACTTTCTTGCCATCAGTGAGAGTTCTTCGGCGGAGAAGTTGGCGGAGATTTACGTGAGGGAGGTTGTATCTCGGCATGGGGTGCCGATCTCGATTGTTTCAGACCGCGATGTGCGTTTCACTTCCCGTTTTTGGAAGAAATTTCATGAGGAGTTGGGTACTAAGCTGCATTTTAGTACCGCATACCACCCCCAGACCGACGGTCAGAGTGAGCGGACGATACAGACACTCGAGGACATGCTTCGAGCTTGTGTATTGGACTTTGGGGGTAGTTGGGACACGCATTTGCCTTTGGCGGAGTTTTCCTACAATAACAGCTATCATTCGAGCATTGGTATGCCGCCCTTTGAGCTGTTGTATGGTAGGAGGTGTCGGACTCCCATATGTTGGGGAGAGGTTGGGCAAAGGGTAATGGGCAGTACAGAGATCGTGAATCAGACGACAGAGCAGATACAGCTGGTCAGACAGAGGTTACTGACCGCTCAGAGCCGACAGAAGAGTTACGCGGATAGACGCCGGTCCGAGCTGGAATTTCAGGTCGGCGACTTTGTTCTCCTGAAGGTTTCTCCTTGGAAAGGAGTGATCCGGTTCAGGAAGAGGGGCAAATTGGGGCCCCGGTTTATTGGCCCGTTTCGTGTGATTGCCAGGGTAGGCCGGGTAGCCTATCGGCTGGAGTTACCAGCAGAGTTGGGGCAGATTCACAACACTTTTCATGTATCGCAGTTGAGGAAATGTATAGCCGATGAGTCGGCAGTGGTTCCACTAGAGGATATTCAGGTAGATGCGAGCCTGAATTATGCGGAGAGACCAGTGGCTATTAGGGATCGGAAGATCAAGATTTTGAGGAACAAGGAGGTACCTCTGGTATTGGTTCAGTGGCAACATCGGAAGGGATCAGAGATGACCTGGGAGCCGGAGGGTATGATGCGGGAGCAGCATCCGGAGCTGTTTTAGAGCGGACTTCGAGGGCGAAGTCCAGTTCTAGTGGGGGAGAGTTGTAACATCCGGATTTACCAGGTATCTTGTAAGTTAAATTTTGATATGTTGTGAGAGGGACTCGGCGAGTTGGAGCTCAGACTCGCCGAGTAGGGACGCGGAATTGATCACTGGTGCGCGCTTGGACTCGGCGAGTCCAGGGTATGGACTCGGCGAGTCTGCGCTGTGTAATGAAACCCTAAATCTCCGGGTTTGAGGCCTATTTAAAGGGCCTTATGGCCGTCATTTGTGCTCACCCAACCCCCAGAGAGTGTCCCTAGAGTTCTTGAGCGTTTTGTGAAGGAAAGAGAGCCATTCTTGATCTTGTGTGTGTTGTTTAGCAAGAAGAAGAAGACCCTAGGCAAGAGGAAGCAAAGGAGGCTGCCATTTCGTGGACTTGGAGCTTAGATCATCACTCTAGAGGTATTATTTCGGACCATTTTCTGTTTAGTGAAGATTGATGCAATTTAGGGTTTAATGTGGTCATTTATGGGGTGATTTGGTGCCCATTGGTTCCCTCTTTGAGTTGAGACCATGGATCTGGATCCATAGAGGTCCAGAGGGCCTCACTCACCAAGCTTTATGGGTGACAATAGAGTCCTTGACCTTGTGTTGTTGTATTTGAGTCTAAAACATCATATATGGTCACATAGAGGTTGTATGTGCATCAAGATTGTGACTTTACGTGCTAAATAAGCTTGGAGGGACTGGATCTATGGATTAATGGACTGGATCTGACCTTTAGAGCAAGATTGAGTCAGTGCATGGCACGGACTCGCCGAGTCCGAAGAACAGACTCGGCGAGTAGCATGAATGTTGCCCGACCACTCAGCGAGTGGCCTCGCCGAGTTGGAAAGGGTGAACTCAGTGAGTCAGGATGGACAGGTGGACCGAGTCAAACTGGACTCGCCGAGTTGTTCTTGAGACTCGGCGAGTTGAGTCGTGGTGGCCCCACAACTCGTGCCAGGTGGAGCTGAGGGAAATGCTCGACGTGTCAAGGGAGGGTTCCAGGGAAATTGGTGCATGCGCTCAGACTCGCCGAGTCGCTATAGTGCACTCGCCGAGTCCGGTCAAAGTTGACCGTTGACCGTTGACCAGCGTTGACCTAGATTGACTTGTTTAAGTGGGGTCAACCCCAGTTGGGAAAGTGTTAATTAGAGATGTATTGTGCTATAGGGGGGGCTACAGCTCGGCAGATCGAGTGTTTAGCGATTTCAGGGTTACGATTTACCGAGACGCGCGAGGTGAGTCTTCTCACTATACTTTACCTTGAGTAGGTAACCAGAGCTATGTGATAGAGTATTTTTTATGGTATGTATGTTATGTGTTATACTGCATGATTTCTATGTGATTTATGTGGTGCATGTTTATCAGAGTTAGAACCTGAGGGTTCACAGAGTTTGGGTGCATGGACCCACAGAGTTATAGCCTAGAGTGGCTAATATGTGTTATATATGGTATTTTGGGGAACTCACTAAGCCTTGTGCTTACAGTGTTGATGTTATTTTGTTTCAGGTACTAGTGACGACCGCGGGAAGGCGCCGGCTTGATCCGTACACACATACGTTTGGAGCTTGACATTTGATCTTGGGATTTTGTACTGTTTTGTTGAACAATTAAAATGGTTGTTTTATGAATAGTGACGGAATTATGTTTTTATAAAAGTCGAAAAATTGGTTTGAAATTTTCGGTGTTACATGATGGGTTTAGTCCTAATAATTCAAACACGACTCCCTATTCGTGTTGGCCAGTGTTTCTCACTGTTTACAACCTACCCCCTTGGTTGGCTTTTAAACATCAATACATACAACTTCCATTGATTAGTCCTGGGAAGAAGAGTCCCGGACAGAATTTGGATGTTTTTTTACAACCTTTGGTGGACGAGTTGAAGATGTCGTTCATAGATGGCATTGAAACTTATGACGCTCATCGAAAGACCAATTTTCAGATGAAGGTTGTACTTCTATGGACAGTTAGTGACTTCCCTGCTTATGCAATGTTGTCCGGATGGAGCACTCATGGTAATTTAGCCTGTCCGTATTGCATGCACCAAACATAATCATTTCGACTTTCCAACGGACAAAAACCATGTTGGTTTGACTGTCATAGAAAACATCTACCCGAAAGACACGTATTCCGAAATGATACAGTTAATTTCTTAAAAGGCAAGAAAGTGAAGGGTCATGAAGTGCCTGTTCCATATCCAACCGGAGAATATATTTGGGAGAAAATCCAACATTTTCCCACTGTATACAACGGTACTCCCTATGGTCCAAATTATATAAAACCAAAAGGTTTTGGTATTACACATAACTGGGTAAAGAAGAGCATCTTTTGGGAGCTTCCATATTGGCGTCACCTGTTGATCCGACACAACCTCGATTTGATGCATGTTGAGAAGAATTTTTTTGAAAATATGTTTCATATTTCGATGGGTACCCCAAAGTCCAAAGACAATATGAAGGAAAGAGAGGATATTGAGATGCTATGTGACCGACCTATACTAAACCCCATTAGGGAAAACAATAGGAAGCCTAGGAAGAACCCTGGAAAGTACACATTGACAAAGGAACAAGTTAAAAAAGTATGTGATTGGTTGAAAGAACTAAAATTTCCTGACGGATATGCATCAAATATAGGTAATTGTGTAAACACCAAAGATTACAGTTTTTATGGTTTCAAAAGCCATGACTGTCATGTGTTTATGCAACGGTTGCTTCCCCTAGCTATAAGAGGTTTTGTTCCAACAAAGATATATGAGGCCGTATCAGAGATATCCATGTACTTTCGAGTATTGTGCTAAAAAACATTGCATCTTCAGGACTTGTTCGATATGAAACGTTGTATTGTTCAGACCATGTGCAAGTTGGAGCAAATATACCCTCCTAACTTCTTTGATTCCATGGAACACCTGGTCATACACTTAGCTGATGAAGCTATTGTTGGTGGTCCGGTACATTACAGATGGATGTACCAATACGAGAGGTAATATCCCTATTTTAATAATATATATAGTATTTTTAAAGTCATTTCTGGTATTCCTAACACATCGTCCATACATTATAATATAGGAAACTGGGCATAATTAAAAGAAGAATCAGGAACAAAGCATGAGTTGAGGGTTCAATAGTCAATGAACATCTAGTGAATGAACTCGCTACCTATTGTTCATTATATTTTGACCCGACGATTGAGACACGCCATAATCGAGAAGCGCGGAATTTTGCACCACAAAGTCACAGGTTTTCGAGTGGTGGAGCTCCACTTAGCATCTTTGTCGTCCCATCAAGAAGATTATATGAAAAAAGTGGAAAACGAAAACCCTTAAGTGATAAAGTCCTTCACAAGGCGCACACTTACATATTACTTAATTGTAAAGAAGTTAACCCTTACATCATCGAGTTTGATGAAATGGTCATAAGAACGAATCCAAATGAATCAGTTTCTGATTTAAGAGATAAATACTTTGCTGAATGGTTTGAGGACAGAGTAAGTAGAACCAGTTCAATCGTATTGATTATTATTAATGCATCGTTAACCAACACAATGTGTGTATGTTTTCAATGTAGATAATGTATAAGACACCCGATGGAAGTGCTAGACACTTAGAAGTTATAGCTACGAAACCATCGAGACATGCTCATTTTCATAATGGGTATTTTGTAAATGGTTATAAGTTCCACACTCAACAATACGGCGAGGGTCGTGCGACAAAAAACTTTGGAGTATGTGTTAGAGGGGAGACGTATAATGCTGAACAAGAGTCAGACTACTACGGCATATTGCAAGAGATCTTAGAGATTGAGTATTATAGCAGCGGACCTTCGACTGTTGTACTATTTAATTGTATTTGGTTTGATAACAAAGACGGTGTAATAGTCAACAAAAACAAGTTGGTCGATGTCAAACCCAAATCTCGACTTCAAACTGACGATCCTTTTTGTTTGGCATCACAAGCTGAACAAGTATTTTATACACCATACCCTTCAATGTCAAATGAGACGAAAGATAAATGGGCGGTTATCAAAACAAAACCAAGAGGGGTATTTGAAGTCACCGAAGCTGAAATGGAAGCAGATGAAGTCTTTCAGGTTGAAGAACGGTTTGAGTCACCCCTTACTGTAACTCGTGTGAAACCGCTATGCCTAGCCTCAACTATAAATACATATGAGCAAATATCTGATGAAGCGAATGAGAGAATTGAGGAGGAAGACGAAGAAGTGGAAGATTTTGAAGACGGAGGTGATGAAAACGAGTTTTATTATTCAGAAGAAGAATTTGAAGACGAAGATGTTGGGGATGAATGTTAGGAGTATTGTCTTTTGTTGATGTTAGGAGCATTGTATTTTGTTTATGTTAGGAGCATTGTCATTTTGAAGACTGTTGTACTGTTTAAACGTTGTTTTGTTAATGATTTTGATTTGGATATCCGGTTGTTTTAAACATTTGTTTTGTCATGACTTATCAATCTTATATTATATATCTGACCATTCTTGTTCTATTAAATGCAGCATGTCAGGTAATCGACGCAAGGATAAAGGCCACAGTACCAACACTTCTTCTAGCAGTGTGGGGCATAGGAGGGGGGAGGGTTATCCCCTAATTCTACCGACGAGCCACGTTATAGGACATCACTCATACCGATTAATATGTCGATAGTGATAGGAGTCGCAGGCTCCAACAGTCAGGGTGCCATCAATGAACAAACTGACATGGCTGATCCTTTAGCAGATTTGGCTGGGATTCTTCGCCATCAGGCTCGAGGGCTGGGTCATATGTCCCAACTCATACAGACAGATTATAGGCTCCAATCCCCAAAATGGGTTATACGCCTCAGTTTCCAAATACAGGTGCTGAGTTGCCGACCCCACAAACGGTTTTGAGGCCGGGTGGTCGTGATGGATTTGAGGAGTACTATTTTGAGGGTGCAGATGCACAGACAAAATTTCGGTCGCCACAGACCCCGCACACGCCACGGCCACCAAACACGCCACCGACGCCACATGGCTCCACCTCTAGAGGTGTTACGGGCGGCCACGACTCGAATGCGAGTGATTTTCAGGAGTCTTCGTTGCCCCTCATCAGCCGAAAAGGGAGAAAGTTAGTGTTTTCATATTTTAAAACTTTAATTTTTGATGTTAAAATTCTACTTATATAGTTCTTTTCAATGTAGGTTTGGGTCTAGGAAAATCCACAGCACGTGTATTAGTCTCTATTGGGAGAATATGGATCATCCGTGGTCCCGATTTAGTGATATTCCCAATGAGGCCCTTTTGCAGATGTTTTCGCGTTTCAAGGCAATATATTAAATATAAATTATTGTATCTTATACTCATTTGTTTTTACTTTGTATTTTTAGATTTACTTTTTATTTTTTACAGACCATGTACAAGTGGAATTCACTAGAGAATAGTAACATATTTGATGCCTTCAAGTGTGTCCTCAAGGATAGATACAGGGATCGGATGAAGCATATCAGGATTAAATCTGGGGAAATGGCACGAAATGATGGGAAACCCGTCCCCTTAGGTCATTGTACCTACTACGAAGGGATGCATGACTACCGCCCTGAGCGCGTACCGGAGAATGTGTGGCGACGTTTGTGTGATGTAATGGATATGATACTTTATTATCTATTTTGTTGAATTTTAATCTCTTATTGTATTAGTATCCTTATATTTTTTTTCTTTTCACAGCATTGGTCGACAGATAAGTGGAGAAAGAATTCAAAAATTGCTCAGCAGAACCGCAAAGTCGCAGATGCTAATGGGTCGACAGCTAGGCACACCGCGGGTAGTATAGGATTTGACGAGCACCGTAACAACTTAGTAAGTATCATAATTATAAATTTTATTATCTTATTTTTTTAACACTAACTACATCAACTATACTTTGTATTTTTATGTAGGAAAAGGTATTGGGTAAACCACCCACACAATTTGATGTTTTCATGAAGACGCATGGTACAGCTGAGGCGAAAAAAAGATATTTTGCGGGAGATCATGAAAATCTCGAATATTGCTCACTAACTGCCAAAGAAGCACAAGTAACTTATCTTTTATCATTTATTATCTATTTTGATGTCTTAGTATTTTTGTACATGACAATGATACTTTTTTGGTAATTTGTAGGAGATGTATCTACAGGAGATGGCCAAAAAACACGGAGAAGACTCTTCAAACCATAAAGATGATGCGAGGGTATGGGAGGAAATTCAACTTAGGAGAAAAGGAAAGAAGAAGGGTGATATCTATGGCATAGGAGCATCAGATATACATTTTGTGATTACTGGGACACCGTCTTCCCAATCCACCCAATCGGATAGTACACAACAAGAGGTATGTTGTTATGGTTTAAACGTTAATTAGTATGTTGATAATATTGATATAATAAACTAAAGTACATTGCTAATATTGTTTAACTATTGTATTGTGTTGCCATTTTTTTAGGTTGATAGGTTGCGTGCACAAGTTTCTACCATGGAACAACAACAACAACAAATGAAAGAACAAATGGAAATGGTTATGAGGATGATGAATATGTCTGGAAATCAACCCCGTGCTCCCCCTGATAATCCACCTGAGGACAATTGATAAGTATTTTGGAACAATTTAGTTTGTAAACATTTGATATTGTTTGTTTTGTTTAGTGCTTACTTTTGTAAGATATTTTGGATAATGGATTGGAATGTGTCAAACTTGGTATGACGGACGTTTTTTGGTGTATTTTATATGGTATTTGGGACAAATGTGAATTTAATGTGGTATTTGACAAAAAATTGGAAATTTTTAAATTATTTTTTTTTAAATAAAACGAAGTTAGCTACGGAATTGCTATGGATTTCCGTAGCTATTTACTTGCGTAGCGATTCCGTAGCTGTTTTGTTCCGTAGCTATTCCGTAGCTATTTTGTTCCGTAGCTATTCCGTAGCTATTTGTAGCCGTAGCTATTGCGTAGCTATTTACTTCCGTAGCTATTCCGTAGCTATATAGTGCCGTAACTATTCCGTAGGAAATCCGTAGCTATTTAATTCCGTAGCTATTCCGTAGCTATAGTAGCTACGGAATATTCCGTAGCTATTCCGTAGCGATTTTGTAGCTAATCCGTAGCTGTAATTTAGCCACGGGCTATTATGCTACAGTCAATTTTCCGTAGCAATTCCGTAGCTATCTGCTTATAGCTACGGAATAGCTACGGATTGTGCCGTAGCTATTGCACCCATTTTCTAGTAGTGTAACAATAGATTTGTAGGTAATTTGTTTTCAAACTATCAATCAATCAAATGAAAGCAAAAGTGAAGCTTCCAAAAAATAGAAGTTGCAAGTGAAACATGGAAAGAGTAGCAGCTGCTTGGAGATTCAGGATATGGTTTGTAACTATTGCACGGAAATTTCATATTAGTACTTCTAAATTCGGGTTTTTGACACTGTAGCACATCAATGTTTGGTCAATTTGCACATTTAGTCACTTAAGTTTTTTTTGTGCTCAATTGATCCTTAATGTTAGTAACTACCGGCTACTTAAAGGAATGTGAGCAAATATTACCGGTTTAAGGGTCATCGCTGACGTGTATTGGCTTATGTGGACAAGCATTTGACCATGTCATCTGTAACGTGGAAACCTTCCTTAATTGAACCTTATATTGAACCATCGAGGATACATTGTTACCCCAAATTAGGTCAATGCCTCCCTTCCGAAACTCACACTCAATCGATATAACCAGAACAATGTATGCCTCTTCCAGTCGATCAATCAAGCTCATACGTATCGGAAACCTTCATGATGATGATCCCTGTCCACCTTGCGATTGTCAAGACGCAATAAGCGTGGAAAGGCCTGCTTGGACCGACGATAATGTAGCTCGCAGGTTTTGGAACTGCAAAAACTCTTTGGTGAGTATTCATTTTGTTTACTTACACCGTATTTGTTATTTTGAGCTGGAAATGTACACATATTCATTAATTGCAACCCTAACCCTAACTATGGTTTTCCCTTTTAATCAGTCAGCTGAAGGTCCGAAATGCAAGTTCTTTATGTGGAAAGACAAAGAAATGGAGGAGGGTTACTATAAAGAACAGCTTCGCAAGATGAGGTTTGAGCTGAAAAGGAAAGAAGAGTTTAGTGAAGTTTTAAAGGTTCAAAAGAAGTTGGTTAAGCTGCAACAAGCTATGGAAGTAGATAAGCAAGTGTTTGAGACACAGTTGATGGAGTTGACGAAGCAAAACAGAATGTTGAAGTGTGGGATCTTTGTTATGGTAATTATAGTCATTACCATGTGGTTGAAATGAACTTGAATTATGCAGTAGATCAAATAGGTGTTTATGGTTGATGGTATATAATTCCAACCAGTTTTTTGGAAAGTGTATGGGTGGATGTTAAAAAGTTATTAGCTTTTTTGGAAGTGTATGGGTGTATGGGTACATGGTCAAGGTTAGATCCTAGTTGTAATGTATAGTCAGGTTTTTGGTTAAATGCTTGTTTGATCAGTGTGTATGTATGGGATGTTAGATGTATTGGAATGTAGATGTAATGGAATGTAGATGTAATGGGATGGCAGTACATGGGAACAATTGTAATGACTTTGTGTTGATTCAATGAATGATATGAAATATCCTAGTTAAGATATACCTTGCTGAATTTTATAATATGCATGTGCTCCTTTTATAAATTAAAGTGTGGGTACCACTTTGTCGGCCATAAGGAACTCACTTGGTCCATTTAAAAGTGGATTGTCTTTAGAGTTCTGTGCAGGGGTATATATGGAAAAGTAAGGATATATGGACCACTGACCACACGTGGTATATAAGGACATAATCAATCATAATTTTAAATTATCTATATATGCAAATATATTCCCTTGCCATGCAGTTTAACCAGACAAGTCCTTGCCATGCATGCAACTTCAAATTAACACAACAAAAAGCTCAAAATAACAATCAACTTAAGTAACATAAAATACACATCACATAAACCAACATAGTTTCATACAAACTAGCATAGTTAATAGTAGTTTCATAAAAACAACAACAATACACCAAAACACATCATTTAACACTACATACCATGTTCATATCACATAAACCAACACTTAAAGTTATTCTAGAGTAACAAGTTTAGCTTCTGAATTCACAGGTGCATCTGCACCACCAACTTTCTTGCCCAGTTTCAACTTGATAATCCTTTCAGATTTCTTCCTCTTGATTTTCTTCAACAGGGTTGCAAGTGGTGTTTCTCTAGCCTCCTGTTCTTGCACATGAACCTGACTAGGTTCTCCATTAGCTGATACATCAAACTCCAAAGGTGTGAGTTCCACCTCATCATAGTTTTGTTGCACATGCATCTCATTGAATGCTTCTCCACCATCATTTACTGCTCCTCCATCATTGAATGCCTTAGATTGATTACCTTCATCATCCTCATTGAGAGCTTCAGCTACACCCTAATTGACCAATATGAAACATTATTAGAAATTTAAAAAGAAGTTGTAAAGATTAACCATTTAAATACTTATGTACTTGTTTGGTTTTTCTTTTAACTTTCCTTTTAGGAGGCCTTGTTAAAGTACAAGCTCTTTTGTTGTGTCCTTCAATCTTACAAAGGCTACATTTTTGTTTTTTCCCAGCCTTGGATACCTTCACCTGCTCCTTACCTTTGTTTTGTGTTTGGGTAGTTGTCTTTGATTTTTTACTTGACTGGTTTGGGGTTTCTGTTGCATCCCTTTTCCTTTTAGTTGCAGGTCTCCCAGACATAGCTCTACGAACAGGAGGTAAAGGTGGGGTGTAATCAGTTGTAGGCCACAAATTACTTCCATTCATAGGTGCTAGCCTAAACTTGTATGCCTTCATATAAGTGTTGCTACTAAATTTTTTGTCCACATATGACTCTACATCCCTATTCATAAAACTAATAGCTGCAACAGAATGTACACAACCGATTCCATTAAGCTGCCAAAGCCTGCATGAGCAAGTTCTTTCTTCAAGATCCACTTCATAAGCATCTGTAATTCCTCTTACTTCAAACTAATTTAGTCCCCTAGGTAAGACTTGGTAATGTCTTAGACCCTTCTTAATGTCATTCACTATTTCTCTAATTGTTGGACAAATTTGGTTGCCCCATCCTAGACCCTTGCATTTCTTCTTGAACACCCTCTCCATCATATACATCCTCAACTCCTCTAGCATGGTGATAATTGGTTTCTTCCTAGCATCAACAATCACAACATTAAAACTTTCTGACATTCCATTCTTCACAGCATCACAACATCTTCCTGGTTGGAAGTAGTCCCTTGACCATGTTTTGGGGTCTTTATCCATCAGATACTGATGAGCACTTGGGTCTAGCACTTCAAGCTCTTTCATGGCAACCTTAAAATCTACCTCTGTTGTTGCTTTACATGCCTTCTAGAATATGCTTTCATATTGGGCACCACTATACCTTTTCCTAAGGTTTTGGCTAATATGCTTGGCACACTGCCTATGCTCTACATATGGAAGGAGTTCTTTCACAGCCTCAGTCAAACCCTGTTAACAACTTCTAAATATAGTGAATAAGGATGCAAATAGATAGGAAAAGTAATTACAAACAATTAAATTACCTTGTGTTGATCAGATATTACACTGTATCCATAGCCCAAATTAATTCCTAAGTCATCAATGAGTAAATCCAAAAACCACCTCCAATTTTCCTTATTCTCCACACATACTACTGCCCATGCAATAGGATAAATCCCATTGTTTGCATCCATTCCAATAGCACATACTAACTCCCCTTTACAGATCCCTTTAAGGAGACAACCATCTAAACCGATTATCTTCCTGCATCCCTCCTTCCACCCCTTCTTCAATGCATTAAAGCAAACATAAAACTTACTAAAGTAGTTCTTCCCATCTGGCATATGATTTACATCAAGCTTCACAGTGCTACCTGGATTTGATCTCCTAATCTCTTCTGCATACGACCATAACTTTGCATAATGTTCAACTAGGATACCATATATTAGTTGGAGTGCATATTTCTTAGCTCTCCTGCATTGACCAACACTAACATGAATGCCAAACTTCTGTGACACAGCTATTCTTAGCTTTCTAACACTCATCTTTTTTCTAAGTAAGAACTCTCTTGTATAATGACTCCCTATCCAAGAATAAGTGACCATGGACCCTAACTTGTAGTTCCTTGCACATTTGTGGATTGGCTTTAAAGACTTAATTTGGAAGCTTGCTTCATCACTCATCCAAGATGCCCACAACCTAAATGAGCACTCACCCTTGCAACACTTAACCAACAATATTTTCCTATCATTTTTCTCAAAGCACAGTTGGCACCCATTCGTAACAGCATAGTTGCATAACATCGATTTTAATTGAGATGGATATTTGAACCTCATACCAAGTATTGGGATCTACTTTTTCCATGGAACTAACTCATTAAAAATGGAATGTTGTTGAGTTACATTGGCATCCTCTTCATGCCCATCATGATCATTTATGTTGTTATCATTTCCCTCTTCCTCTTCGCTACATAATCTATTTAGAAATTCGTCACCCTTTGTCTTATTCATAGTGACTGTGTCCTTATTAAAGTCCACATCCACATCTGTTAGGTTATCAATTTCATCCTCATTCTCACCACCATCAATGCAAGAATCATCTCCATCCTCCTCTTCTATTTCAGAACCAAACCAATCTTCTATTCCTTGACCATCATGGTCCACATACATACAAATTTTACCATCTGTCCCATATGCATGAAAAATGAAACCACCACAGTCTTCATCTTTAGCGATAGTAGTTATCCCAGATATTAAGGGCTTACCTGGTTCACAATAGTATAACTTCTTCGAGAAAGGTGATACATTCACCGTATGTCATTCCAGAAAAATCGTGATCATTGAAAGTGAAACTGATACCATGGTTATACGAGAAAGGATTTCTAAGAAAAACACCTTTGAAGTTCAGCTCCACTATAGGGTAGAGTCCATTAGGGTTTGGCGTCGAGCTAGACATTGTGGGTTGGTTGACTGTTCACTAACTTCGATCGGAGAAAACGACTTCGAACCCTAGGTTTAGTGCTTCGTATTCACTGTAAGATGAGAAAAAGAAAGAACGAAGAAGGAGTGTTCTAGCTAAATAAATGTGTTTATTTTGACCTCTATATCCTACATGGATAAAATAAATGAATAATATTATGTAAACTTATTCCACGTAACCAATATCACTGGTTGTTCCGTTTACCGGGTGCATAAGGGTGCATAAGGGGGTAATTAGCCAGTAGTTACTAACATTAAGGATCAATTGAGTACAAAAAAAACTTAAGTGACTAAATGTACAAATTGATCAAACATTGATGTGTTACAGTGTCAAAAACTCTCCAAATTGATATTATTATTATTATTATTATTATTATTATTATTATTTTTGTTAATATAGATAAAAGTAAATTTGACGCTCAATGTATTCAACTAGATTATGTTTGCCGCCCTTTGGTGCACATACAAATATGAAATAAGTAGTTAGATTTTGGATCTAAGAATCTCAATTTAGAAGAAGAAGTCATACCATGTACTATTTCTTTAGGATTAGACTAGTATATTTCTACGTTTAGTTTGTTCCCAGTGATGTATGCATGTAAGCCTATATATAGGCTTTCGAGATGAATAGTGAGAGTTTTTTCTTTTCTTTTTCTGCAATACACCATTTATACTTCATATTAGAAAGTCTTTTGTTCTCTTCTCCAAGTTCATTATATACGAGATTTAGAGTATGAGATTTGAGGCTTTCCAACCAACATGTTTTGTGCTTTTGTTTTTTGCTTATTTGAATATTTTTTTATAAACCAAATTGGATATTAGACCCCTATATTCTACCTTGTATTGAGATATAGAATATACGAAGAAAAATTGGATATTTGATTTATATTAATTAACAAGTATTTGTGTAACTAAGATTACAAGGACCGGAATACAATAATTACATAAATATACATATGGACATGCAGATAGCTGTGCTTTGTGTGTTTCGTTCAGGTTATAACTTATAAAAGGCATGCATAAACTGGAGATCTAAGCAGTTGGATACGATGAATCCATTGCTATTCCACATAGACCTTCTTTGGCACTAACATCTCTTTGCATCATTATGTATCCACTATCCCCCCAGCTGGCACCCCACGAATTTTTTACCAACCAGTACTTCATTCCATCATCCGTTACTCCATATCCAACTGCTGTAACACCGTGGTCAAGATCAGTTCCACAATCCCCAGTAAACACGCCACCGGAATAGAACTGGAAACCCATGCCACTGGCATCAATGGCAACTGATATGGGTTGATTAGCGACTGCTTGTAACAATGCAGATTCACTGTTGGCTGGCACTTTTTCATACCCAGTAATGGTGGCAGCATGGACAGCTTCTTCCTTGGTGTTGCAGGTTCCATCTGCTGCCTGATATGGGTAAGCCACCTCGGTGTTGATGCCTTTGTTTTTAACGATAAACTCAAAGCCATCTTCCATCTCCCCACCATTGCATCCTTGATCTACACCACTCCTGTCACAGTCCACTAGCTCTTGCTCAGACAGTGAAATTAGTTTTCCGGTTGTGAGCTGAGTAATTCCTTCCGTTGCAGCGATAGTTGAAAATGCCCAACAGCTTCCTATAGAATAAAAAACACTAAATTATAAGCACGACATTTACGTATTGCCATTATTGTAAAAATCAGTTTTTATGTTTTTGTTGTTTTTTGTTGTTTCTTTTAACCACGATTGCATTAGCCACGTACCACATTGGCCTTGATCTTTAACTGGGGTAACAGCTCCTTTCTTTCTCCAATCCATGCTAGGTGGCACGGCAGTCACGTTTTCATACCTAAAAGGTGTTGTTCTTGCTGATCTTTTGTTTGATGAAAACTTATATCCATTACGAGCGGCTTTGAACTCTTCATTTGTTTGGTCTGCAAATTTGTTAATCGCTACTTTGTAAGGCTGGTTTTCAGCACTGTTGAAGGATTCAATGAATTCCACGTTGTCCTTGAATATGTTGAAGCGCATTTTCTTCTCTGCGTCATCCTGGTACACACGTCCATAGCGTACCATCCACAGCTCATGTCTCTCAGAGATGGATACATCACTTAACATTCGGCACGTAACTCCTGAAGACCACATCCCTACGACAACAAGAAAGGCGATAAGATGCATTATTTTGAGAGACGAAAGGCCCATTGGTTACTAGTTTGATGCCTTCAGGATTGTTTTGGAATAGCCAACTGTTTTAGGTTTTTGAGTTTATGCATGGCTTTCGGTGTATGATTTATATAGGACGAGATTCTGGTTTATTAAACATTTTTTTTGGCGTGGAGGAGGCAACTAATATGATGTAACTGAAAAAGCATCCTTTTTTAGTTGACTGCAACGATAAATGTACATGCTACGACAGGTAAATACTTACGAAAACTATTTTGTTTTTATGCATCTAAAAAAAAAAAAGAAACTGTTGGATCAGTTATGAAAGAAACAAAACTGGTTAAGAAATTTCTTAATGTGTTACCAAAACGTTTTATTAATATGGTGGCTTTTATAGAACAGGTTGTAGATTTGAAGACCATCGGTTATATATGATGATGTTGTGGGCCGATTTAAAGCTTATGAAGAAAGGATCAAAGTTGAGGAGATCCAACCCTAGCAAAATCAGCTTTTATTTGATAATTCGGATGAAAAAGCAAAAGAAAAAGAGCATTGTGGTTGTGGAAACTCGAATGGGGAAGACTATGGGCGTGGCCGAGGTGGAGGTCGGGGGTCCGGAAGAGTCGAGAAGATGGTCAAGTACAACGGGACAAGAGTCACGTGAAGTGTTACAGGTGTAATGCGATCGGACATTACATATCAGAATGTCCATTGTGGGAGAAAAAGGATGAGCTTCACTTGACCCGGTGTGAGGATGATGAACCGGCACTGCTGTGAATGAGCCACCTGATTAAGGGGGTGATTGTTGGGATTAATCAGGTTGGCTGCTAGTTTAATAAGTTTTATGGTTTTTAGTTAATAGTTTATCACTGGTTTACGTTATTTAAAGTTTGAATAAAGAAAAATGGGTAAAGGGGTTTGACTATTTCAATGATATGTACGTTGGGGTTTTACACGTTCGGGTTTAGAAGAAGAATTCATACCATGTACCATTGGATTAGATTAGTATTTTTCTGCATTTAGTTTGTTCCCACGTGATGTATGCATGTAAGCCTATATAGGTTTTCTTTGATACGAATAGTGCGATTTTTTTTTCTACAACTTTAAAGTACACAATTTATACTTCATATTAGAAAGTGTTTTGTTCTCTTCTCCAAGTTCATTATATACGAGAGTTTAGAGTATAAGATTTGAGGCTTTCCAACCAACATGTTTTCACTACAACAATCAGACCCTATGGCGACAACAAATTCAGACCCTATCCAGATGACAAGTTGTTGGTACATGGTATGGCGACGATAAGTCGTCGGCAAAGGATCGCCGGCACAAGCGTGTCAGCATAGGTCCATTACGTTGTTGGCATAGATGTCATCGGCATAGCTTCACCTATTGTGACGACATGTCGTCGGTACAACTTTTGTCAACCATATTTTCGGAAAAAAAAATAAAGTTTTATTAAAAACCTGTGGCTACGACATGTCGTCAGGACACCTATAGCAACGACAAGTCATCGCGAAAGGTTTCAACTATTCAGATGACATGTCGTCGCTATAGTGTTTTTAATGGTTGTTGGTTATGGACCTATAGCGACAACTTGTAGTCGGGATAGCTACTTGTTGTTTTTTTAGCTTTACATGTTTTTTACATTACCATTCCTACATTTTTAACAAATCCAAAAAACATTATAGCAAATATCAATTGAAATACATTAACTAGGTACCATTGTTCAAATTCAAAACATCAAATTCAAATTTAATATTACAATAAGTAGTTAAGTAACATTGTTCATAATACTAAAAAAAAACATCAACCATCATTGTCATAATCGTCTTCTCCTTCTGCTTCTTCTCATTCTTCTTCTTCTCCTCCTCCTTCTTCTTCTTCTTTTCCTCCTCCTTCTTCTTCCATCATTTCGACAAATTGTTGAGACGTAGTTGCTTGTGTGTTATAGTTGAATAAAAAGTTAGGAAATGGTGGTGGTTGGAAGTTTGGAATACATGTCGCCAATGATGCATTATATTGTTGCAAATATTCTTGCATTTGTTGTGCAGCAAATTGGGATTGAGATTGGGATGATTTGGAAGTGGAAGGCCGTTCATTTGGAATTAAAACGAAGTTGGCAGTTGGTCGCCTACACACCCCGCGAGCATGTCCGTGTCTCGTCCCAAGGGTACGTTCTAAACATTCTTCCTCATTTACTTCTCCACCTTCCCCACTCTCGTTTTGCATTTTCTCATATTCCTCTTGAATTTTCTCCTAAAATAAAGAAAACAATTAACATACGTTAACTAAAACATACAACTAAACTTAAATATTAAAATAATAACAATAATATTCCTCAAACAAGAAACTATAATTGATAATAATATATTTAAACAACACATTCATTTCGTTTATCACTTACCCAATCTTCTTGTGCCCGAGTTGTACACCAACCCGAACCTTCTTTGTAGTGCATTTGTCTCCAACCCTCAATATGCTGCGGCTTGATTCCCATTTTTTTCTATAATAAGTGGAAAAACAATAAATATATTTTGACAAATGTTAATAACAATTTTAAATAATACTAATGTATTTTATTACCTCTAAATGACGTCGTTGAACATAAGGTCTACATCGGTGAGCACTTGTGTGCGGATGTTTCGACCTAGTAACTTTATTTTTAACCGATGTATGTTTGTATTCTTCGGTCAAAAACAACAAATCAATCATATCGTTCCAAGCTTCGGCGGTCCAATCAGGCAATGGATATCTTCATGCCCTTTCCACATTTTGGTATCCACCAACTCTATCAAAATGTTTTTTTATCTGACACTTGTGCTCTCGATAAGCTCTTTGCATATTTGCTTGGATGCTCGCTCGAAGGGGTTCCCACAAGTTTGTGCCTCGATACCTATTAATATCAAAATAAGTCTACAAAAGGAAAAACATATTTGATTAGTAAAAAAATATTTAATAAATGTAAAATTCAATACATATAAAATATAATGTATACTTACTTCTAGCTCGGGATATAAATCATCTTTGTACTTGGTAGTAACACGATGCCAAGTATGATAATGCAACGGTACCTGTCATCCTACCAGATTTGAGATCAGTCTGACAAACATTTGCCTGTTGTCCCCTATAAATCGATATGCCTGCCCGGAGATATCAATTGTCAAATCGAAAGGCCTACACCTGTTTTTTTTTCATACTCATTATACAAATTTAAGTTTCTCCCTTTGCCACCCACATTCACGTTCATATTCTTCGCTTGTGCTATATTTACATATACAATTGGAAATTTAGAAATTTAAAACTTTAATACATCTAATACTTAAAAATTTCATATAACTTACAAGATTGGCAACCTGATGGTACACTGCGTGGAACCCCGTGTGGAGGTTTATCCCCACCGTCTCCTTCGTGTCCCCTTGGAACTTCTGCCACCTGTTTAACAAATATTTTAAACATTCAGAATATATAATAAAGCTACAAATATGCAACATTTCAAAATTTAACAAATATTATAAGCAATCACGATATATAATAACAATAACATATGTCAATCAGATTCATCACTAGAACAATATACATGTACAACATCATCATCACTGCATAGTTTTCATTATTTATTTCTTCTTCTGAAGAGTACGTATCATCATTGTCATTGTCATCGTTAATGAAATCGTCGTCGTTTATAGTAGGAGCAACATTCCTCCTAGCAACCACACTTGATTCACCAACTTCACCTAAATTCGTCTGCATAGGTAAGATGCCTAAGTTGACAACCAAGGTAAAATTAGTTGATTGAGTGTTGTTCACGACATCTATCTCATTCACAACACCGATACTTGGATGATTCCAAAGTTTTCAATGATGAACCTTTTCCAAAACTGTCCAGTTATTGTTTTGAGTGGGATCTTGGAGATAAAATACTTGTTTAGCTTGTGTGGCTAAGATGTATTGTTGATCATCATACCACGTTTTACTGACTTACCATTCATGACTGGTATCGATAAGAATCATATTATTTATAGTCTTTAAACGTCGATTACGTAACGACGCATTGAACCGTTTGCCCTGAAAGAGTACAATTGATTTATTATATAAATAATGCAACTCTATGATCTCCTCTAATTGACCATAGAATGGTGTACCGTCTTCTCCGAATGTAACAACACCACTATTTTGAGTAGTGCGTTGGAGATCGTGATTATTCACGACAAATCGGACACCATTTACAATGCACGCAGTGTAAGAATATGCACACAACAGAACATATGCTAACTCCTTTAATTCGCCAGTACAATCCGAAGGCATATCTTTTTGGAGACAATAAATCTGTAAGGAAATATAAGATTGTATTTTTAAGTAATAAATTAGTTTTACATTATAAATATATAACATACTTACCTTTTCTTTGAACCATGAAGGAAATTCCTTTTTGATATCACTTTCAGGCAATTCTAATTTTAATTCACTGAATATGGGACAAAATAATTAGAATAGTTAAAACACTATCGAAAAGGTAGTTAATAGATCAGAGACTTACGATTTGTAGCTTCTCATCTCATCCTCATCGTAATTGTTTAGTACAATCCAATGCAATGATTTTTTGGCCTCTTTACAAAGTTCAACGATTTTCTTGGCCGACATTGTTCGACATTGTGATGAGAACACAAAAAATTGCCTTTTTGGAAGGTCGGGATCATCATTTCTATCAGCACAGTTAAATTTAGTTTGCATACCCTCAAGATACATAGAGCAGAATGTCAATGCTTCGTCTGCAACATAACCCTCTGCTATTGAACCTTCTGGTTTGGCTTTGTTTCTGAAATAATTTTTAAGTTTTTTAATATATCTTTCAAAAGGATACATCCATCTAATGTGTACAGGCCCTCCAAGAATGTCTTCATCAGGTAAATGAAGAATAAGATGAATCATTATGTCGAAAAATACTGGAGGATATATCAACTCAAGATTGCATAAGATCTTTACCACTTCTGTTATGGAATTTCTCATGTCGTTAACATCCAATGACCGTGCATAATTTTGTTTAAAGAATGTACACTGGTCAATAATTGTTCTTGAAACATTTGGTGGGAGACATGCTCGAACCCTTATAGTTAGCAATCGTTGCATGAGTACATGATGATCCTGAGACTTCAGCCCAACCAAATTTGATTCAGTATCATTAACCTTCTTCTTAAAGTTCGATCCAAAACCATCAGGTAGTCTCACTCCTTTAATGAATTGACAGAAACGTTGTCGATCAATTGGTTTGAAAGAGTAAAAAGCATGTGGGAGTATTTCATTCTTCTTGTATTCATCCTTGTTATGTTTCTTCATCTGCTTGACTTTGTCTTTTGGCCATTGATCTGGTCTAATGCCCATATTTTTCAAGTTAATTCTTGCTTCTTTTTTGTCTTTGCTTTTATCGTTCATCAGTGTAGCATTCAGCACACTCTCATTCACATTCTTTGAAACATGCATAACATCGAAATTGTGTTTTAGGTCGAGGGAAGAGGAATACTCAAGCTCAAAGAAGATACGATGTTTCATCCAATTTAACTCTCTCTTTTTCTTTCATCGTCATACTTTCTTTTTTTGCCCCCATAATCAGGACGTTTCCCTGGAATTCGATCAGAGAGACAATTTACTTGCTTTAATATAGTTGCATTACTGAATCGTCTAGGACGCGGTCTTGTCTCAGGTTGACCATCAAACAATAGACTCTCCTTCTAACTATGGTTTATATTCAAGAATCGTTTGTGACCAACAATAAGACATCTTGTTGGTCACATAAATGGAAGATGTGTCTTCGTTACAAGTAGGGCATGCTAAATAACCTTGACCACTCCATCCAGACAGACTGCTATGTGTTGGGAAATCATTGATAGTCCATAACAACATCACACACATATTGAATACATGGTGGTGTATTGTAGGTAGTCAATATAACCGGCCAAATTCTATAATTGTTATTAAAGTTGCCGAATGGATTAAAGCCATCAACAACTAAACCTAAACGAACATTTCTAGGTTCTTTGGAAAACTCTGGATATCTCTTATCAAATTCTTGCCAAGACTTCCTATCTACCGATGATACATCATACCATCCGTTGATCTTCTAGTATTATGCCAGACATCCCCAAAATCTCGGCCAGAAAAGACCGATTTCATTTATGCTTTTTAAAAATAATTTTCAGAGTAAGTCCTTTTAATTTTAAAAGAGATGCGGAATTTGTTCCCAAAAACAAAACATGATAAAATAGATATTTATCAAAACATTTCATAAAGAAATATGATTTCATTTCATAATCAAAAGTCGGGATGTCATGTTCCGATACAGATCATAAAGCTTAAACGATATCATTACAAGTCTTTCAACAAATATATACATATACAGACTTGTAAACAAAACAACTTGATGTTCGCCCATCTTAAGCTCTTGCGCCACTTCCTGTAAAATAAATCAACTGAGTGGGTCAGGCTTGGGAGCCTGGTGAGCATATAGGGTTTTCAACCCACAATAAATAATTAAATTAATTATTATCAACCAACAATAACCCAGTTACCCATTCCCGTTATTCTCACTTTATGTCCCTAAAATAACTAACACAAGGAACCTAGTCTAAGAATATTTCATCGGGGCGACTACACATGCTTCGGGGGTTCCTCAGCAATATAAGTCAAATAAGGCAACCATGGGGGGGATGGAATACAGCGAATGAACACCCAAGTTCATTAACACCTACAGGTTATGAGCCTGCTAGCGTTCCACTGGACTACTAGAAAAGTCCGTGGTCGTCATCTAAATTCCGCTAGATGACTGGATCAAAACAACATCGAGGCCTCTCATCTGTTTATTACACACCAACTATCTACCCATATTCTACCCAACATATTAGTAGATAAAATATACATTTTTATACGTAGTTTCAAAACCTGTATAGCATGCTCAATCAAAACATTTTTCACATAACAGATGAGGCATACACACATAACACGTATTTCATAGAGAATACTTCAGATCTATAAGATAGAAGAGAGTGAATATACACTCACACGTATAACAACCAAATATATACACATAACACGTATTTTATAGGAAATACTTCATAATATTGTGTTGGAATGAAAGTAACTACACACTCACTTGATCAGAAGATGATCGGGCAGCACTACGGCTTGCAGAAGAGGTGTTTCTCCGTAGATCTGGAAGATCTTCACAAAACCGGGCTCCTCGCGGGCAGCGTTTCGGCTCGGGAATAACGCTCTTCGGGATTCTCGGGGCTTCGGATTTGCTTCGGGGCTCGAGAATATTACCGGGGCTTCGGGGTATAAACGGCACGCAAAAGGAGGCAAAACTTAGAGAGAAAGAAGAGTTTGAACAAGAGAAAATGGCTGAATTCGAGTTCTATTTATAGGCTGCTGGGTCTGGGATTACGCGGGGCGTACTCAGTACGCGGGGCGTACTCAGTACGCGGGGCGTACTCGGGTTACGCGGGGCGTACTTTGACGTCACTGCGTGCGTCGACTGGTGGCACTCGAGTATTGGTCAGACAAGTTGCAACCGACTGAGTACGCGGGGCGTACTCAAATTACGCAGGGCGTAATTGACTTGTCAAACTTCTAAATTGCGTAACTTTCGCATACGAGCTCCGTTTTCGACGTTCTTTATATCCACGCGAAGGTCAGACCGTACTCTACAACTTTCATTTAGACTCCGTCGGCTAATTTTCACTTTTATTTTTATTATTTATTTTTAGAAGGCCGGGACAGAAAAACTTCGTTATAAATTCATAACTTCTTCGTCTGACGTCCGTTCTCGCCTAACTTTTCATTGCTTCGCTACTAACAACAAGATCTTCGATTCTCATTTAGATTGTTTCAGCTAAAAACCGCTCGATCTCAAATCGAGTATTCGGGCTGCATACTGCCACGTCGAAACTTCAGAAAATCATAACTTCCTCATACGAAGTCAGATTTGGGCGTTCCTTTTATGCACGCTCTCGGTTTAACGAAATCTACGACTTTCGTTTAGATCGCTAAGGCTAAATATCGATCTATCTTAAATTCATATTTTACGTCACTCGGCGTCGTGCCGGTTCTGTCTCGAAACTTCGACAGGTCATAACTTCTTCGTTATAACTCGGATTTTGGCATTCCTTATATCTCCGAAATCCTTGTTTCGACCACTACAACTTTATGCAAAGATATCGGGCGTATCTCACACTTTAATTTTGACGCTTATTTCATTCTTAATTCATTAAATTATAAAAATCAAGAAAATAAACACATAAATCACATAATTCACATAATTCACAAATAATACATTCTTATTATTTCAAGTTGAGTTACAGAGGTTAACCTAGACTATTACATTGCTAAAAATGGCAAGCCCAGAAACACAGGCGTTACAATTATGCCAAATCATATCTTTAGCTGTGAATCTGGAAATATACATCCATCGAAGTCTTGGAGTCAAAGGAAAGTAAAACAACACTTTATGTGGTACTCGCTTCCCCTTTGTGGTTGTGTCCACATATCTACCCTCGATACAAATCGGACAATGATGCATGGAATCATTCTCCTTCCAAAACAAAGCACAATCATATTTGCAAGCATGGATGGACTCATATCCTAACCCTATCTTTCTCAACTTTTTCTTAGCTTCATAGTGTGAAGTTGGAATCTCGCTCTTCGGGAAAGCAACTCTTAGCAACTCTACAAGTTGGTCAAATGAACTATTTGTCCACTTATTGATCACTTTAATATGCAACAACTTTGCCAAAAAGTTTAAAGAAGACATCTCACAATCAGGGTATAACTCAGTATTGAGCTCGTCAAACAAAGCATCAAATTCTGAGTCCATGCCTCGTCCTTCATCATCTGTATTTTCTTCATTTGTATTTTGTTCCGCCATAACATCATCAATTACATCAAACAACTCATTAGTTGTTGGAATGTTTATTGGAGTCGAATTGTAGCCCAAATCCGAAACAGAATGCTTCTCACCGTGATAAATCGATATAGTATATGATTTTAGAAACCCACGGTCATGTATATGGGCATAAACCGTACTCAACAACTGTCGATACATATTCACACACTTTACGCATGGACAACACACTTTGTCTTCAGAGTCAACATGTTTCCTAGCAATCTCCATAAAGTTTTTAAGACCTTCCAAGAATTTTGGGGACGTTCGGTTTTCACGAATCCAACTCTTATCGATCGTCATTACTGTGTCATTATTAAAAATTAGATTGTATACATAGTTACAATAAACGTACTTTTATTAGTTTAAATATTTTTATATTTTGTTTACTTTCAATAAACGTACTTTTAATAGTTTAAATATTTTTATATTTTGTTTTACGTTGCTACTAGTAACGTTTGTTCTTAATTACAAACATTTTAACTTAAAAATTAGATTGTATACATAGTTAAATTGTATGACTTTTTGTTTGAGAAAAAAAATAGACGAAATATTATTTTGTTTTTTTTTTCAATTACATCATTGTACTTTTAATATTTTTCTATAGCACCATACTTTAATAATAACGTGATTTTATTATTTTGTTTTATGTTATAACTTTCAAATAGAAATGAAAAAAAACAAAATAAAAAAATAAGTATGTTGCTATTAATAAATTTTGTAGTTTAAATATTTTTTACTTAATAAACTTTACTCTTAATAAACGCACTTTTATTAGTTTAAATATTTTTATATTTTGGTTTATGTTGCTATTAGTAACGTTTGTTCTTAATAACAAATATTTTCACTTAAAAATTAGATTGTGTACATAGTTAAATGATATGACTTTTTGTTTGAGAAAAAAAAAACAGACGGAATATTATGTTCTTTTTGTTTTTCAATTACAACATTTTACTTTTAATATATATATATATATATATATATATATATATATATATATATATATATATATATATATATATATATATATATTTCAATTACTGCATTGTACTTTTAATATTATTTACTTTTTTTTTAGCACCATACATTTAATAACAATGTGATTTTATTATTTTCTTTTATGTTATAACTTAAAATACTTTAATAAACAAGATAATAAATGTATGTAGCTATTAATAACATTTGTTTGAGGAAAAAATGAGCGGAATATTATTATTATTTTTTTAATTATATCATTTTACTTTTATATATATATATATATATATATATATATATATATATATATATATATATATATATATATATATATGTATATATATATATATATATATATATATATATTTTCACATATAGAAAAAACTCTTATCAATCGTCATTAGATTGTATATATATATATATATATATATATATATATATATATATATATATATAAATATATTTTATTATTTTTTCAATTATAGCATTATACTTTTATTCACTTAAGCTAATAAATCAAACAAATAACACAACCATACATATTTTTCATTTTATACATAAAATTTCATACCAGCCTAAACAAAGATCACAATCATACATATTTCACAATCATACAAAATTTCGATTTTATATAAACCTAAACAAGTAAATTAACATTGTATACATACAATTTCAATTTCATTTGAACCTAAACAAATTTGAATTTCATATAATATTTAACCACAATTTCATATGACCTAAACAAATTTGAATTTCATACAATTTCAATTTCGTATAAACCAAAACAAACAAACAATATACATATACCAAATAAACAATATACATATACCAAACAAGAAGCAAACTCGTTTATTTAACATAACAGAGAAATCTCTTCTTTTTAAGACTTTTTCAAGATAAGAAAAGATGCAACAAATCACTTTCTTTCTCCTTAGCCTTAGTACATATTAGTGCTAAGGGTTGAAAAACTTGAACTTGGTTGGTGTTAAGTCACCTCGGGAAAGTCATAAAGGGACGTTGAACGCAATTCGTCAAGGGCGTTACCACAAGAGGCTTGGCAATTCAAGTGAAAGTTTCTTAGACTAGTCCCAGCGGGGAAACTTACTTCCGAGAGAGCTGCTTTCACCTCGGGAATTCCCTAACGAGAACGAGAGAGAGCCGATGCAAAAGTAGCCCTTGACGCGAGGGAACGCCAGACAGACTGACCTCTGCTAACTACGTTTTATATAGACTGGAAGCTAGAGAGAGACTCTTTGCCTCCAAATGGGGGCGCACTCATTCTTTTTTGATTTTGTCTCTAGGGTGGCCGGCTTCCTCGGAGTGAAGGCCGTTTCAGTACTGTTTTTAAAAATGGGCTGCCCCGCAGCTCTGGCCTTCGTGATTGGCTGTGCTTGCCGAGCACTCGTCACTCCGGAGGCAAACGCCTCCCTCGGGCATTGGGTGCTTCCCGGGCCTACGCCTAGGAAAAAACTAAAACTTTGTTAGAAATTACCCCCTTTCCTTATCGGGATCGGGATTCAAAAGAATGGTTGGGACAACAAACATCCATCTCGTTCGTACTTTGGATACCCGTAGAACCATAAAAAACTTTTTAAGTTTATAATTCCTTTAAATTAAGGGGAAAAAACAAGAATCACACATATACCAAACAACATAATTCTATAATCAAAACAGGATCAATTTCAATTTCAATTTAAATAAAAAATACAAAAAAAAAAAAAAAAAAAAAAAACCTAACCTGTGTTTGTTCTTCTTGCTGTGATGCGGACCACCCTTGTCAAAATCGATGTTGTGTTCGTGCAATAAAATACGAAGGGTGGTGAATGAGAAAACCTGGAATGATGGGCGTCGGTGAACAACTCATGATAGGGAAGCTTCAGGCGGTGGAAGACGGACAGGGGTGCTTCACCACTAGTGAAAGCCTCTAAATACCAAAAAAAAATCCCCGAATTAGGGGTAAAAATCATTAGCACACATCAATATTCAATGAAATTGAAGTAGAAAAGGTTTACCTGAGGCTAATTGCCAGCTAGTGCTGTTAGAATCAGATTTTCGTCAGAGAGAAAGAGTTTGTTGCATCGCTGTGCAAATGAATGAAGGTTGCCCGCATTCTTTAGGTTAAACCCATATGCCGACGACATGTCGTCGGTATAGGGTCAAATAAACGTTGTCGTTTCGCTTTTTGCTGAAACAAAAAAACAAAAAATTAAAAACCTATGGCGACGTCAAGTCGTTGGGATAGCCCTGTGATGCGGATTGCCACGTGTCATGCCGATGACAAGTTGTCGGTATAGCATACACAAAACTACGTCATTTGTTTTTCTGGCATATGAATTAAAAATAAATGGAAAAAAAATATTTTTTTGATACCTATACCGACATCATGTCGCGGGTATAGAATTTTAGCATACCGCCAATATTTTTGTCGTTCCCGCCACACTTTTGCCGACGGAATTGAGGTCCTGGTCAAAGTTCGCAAGAGGTATGGCGAGACTAGTTGTTGGGATAGGGCTACATTTAGAGACGACAATTCAGGACAAGTGTTGTCTGCATATCCGTATTGAGATATAGAATACACGAAGAAAAATTGGATATTTGATTTATATTAATTAACAAGTATTTGTGTAACATAGATTACAAGGACCGGAATACAATAATTACATAAATATACATATGGACATGCAGATAGCTTTGCTTTGTGTGTTTCGTTCAGGTTATAACTTATAAAAGGCATGCATAAACTGGAGATCTAAGCAGTTGGATACGATGAATCCATTGCTATTCCACATAGACCTTCTTTGGCACTAACATCTCTTTGCATCATTATGTATCCACTATCCCCCCAGCTGGCACCCCACGAATTTTTTACCAACCAGTACTTCATTCCATCATCCGTTACTCCATATCCAACTGCTGTAACACCGTGGTCAAGATCAGTTCCACAATCCCCAGTAAACACGCCACCGGAATAGAACTGGAAACCCATGCCACTGGCATCAATGGCAACTGATATGGGTTGATTAGCGACTGCTTGTAACAATGCAGATTCACTGTTGGCTGGCACTTTTTCATACCCAGTAATGGTGGCAGCATGGACAGCTTCTTCCTTGGTGTTGCAGGTTCCATCTGCTGCCTGATATGGGTAAGCCACCTCGGTGTTGATGCCTTTGTTTTTAACGATAAACTCAAAGCCATCTTCCATCTCCCCACCATTGCATCCTTGATCTACACCACTCCTGTCACAGTCCACTAGCTCTTGCTCAGACAGTGAAATTAGTTTTCCGGTTGTGAGCTGAGTAATTCCTTCCGTTGCAGCGATAGTTGAAAATGCCCAACAGCTTCCTATAGAATAAAAAACACTAAATTATAAGCACGACATTTACGTATTGCCATTATTGTAAAAATCAGTTTTTATGTTTTTGTTGTTTTTTGTTGTTTCTTTTAACCACGATTGCATTAGCCACGTACCACATTGGCCTTGATCTTTAACTGGGGTAACAGCTCCTTTCTTTCTCCAATCCATGCTAGGTGGCACGGCAGTCACGTTTTCATACCTAAAAGGTGTTGTTCTTGCTGATCTTTTGTTTGATGAAAACTTATATCCATTACGAGCGGCTTTGAACTCTTCATTTGTTTGGTCTGCAAATTTGTTAATCGCTACTTTGTAAGGCTGGTTTTCAGCACTGTTGAAGGATTCAATGAATTCCACGTTGTCCTTGAATATGTTGAAGCGCATTTTCTTCTCTGCGTCATCCTGGTACACACGTCCATAGCGTACCATCCACAGCTCATGTCTCTCAGAGATGGATACATCACTTAACATTCGGCACGTAACTCCTGAAGACCACATCCCTACGACAACAAGAAAGGCGATAAGATGCATTATTTTGAGAGACGAAAGGCCCATTGGTTACTAGTTTGATGCCTTCAGGATTGTTTTGGAATAGCCAACTGTTTTAGGTTTTTGAGTTTATGCATGGCTTTCGGTGTATGATTTATATAGGACGAGATTCTGGTTTATTAAACATTTTTTTTGGCGTGGAGGAGGCAACTAATATGATGTAACTGAAAAAGCATCCTTTTTTAGTTGACTGCAACGATAAATGTACATGCTACGACAGGTAAATACTTACGAAAACTATTTTGTTTTTATGCATCTAAAAAAAAAAAGAAACTGTTGGATCAGTTATGAAAGAAACAAAACTGGTTAAGAAATTTCTTAATGTGTTACCAAAACGTTTTATTAATATGGTGGCTTTTATAGAACAGGTTGTAGATTTGAAGACCATCGGTTATATATGATGATGTTGTGGGCCGATTTAAAGCTTATGAAGAAAGGATCAAAGTTGAGGAGATCCAACCCTAGCAAAATCAGCTTTTATTTGATAATTCGGATGAAAAAGCAAAAGAAAAAGAGCATTGTGGTTGTGGAAACTCGAATGGGGAAGACTATGGGCGTGGCCGAGGTGGAGGTCGGGGGTCCGGGAAGAGTCGAGAAGATGGTCAAGTACAACGGGACAAGAGTCACGTGAAGTGTTACAGGTGTAATGCGATCGGACATTACATATCAGAATGTCCATTGTGGGAGAAAAAGGATGAGCTTCACTTGACCCGGTGTGAGGATGATGAACCGGCACTGCTGTGAATGAGCCACCTGATTAAGGGGGTGATTGTTGGGATTAATCAGGTTGGCTGCTAGTTTAATAAGTTTTATGGTTTTTAGTTAATAGTTTATCACTGGTTTACGTTATTTAAAGTTTGAATAAAGAAAAATGGGTAAAGGGGTTTGACTATTTCAATGATATGTACGTTGGGGTTTTACACGTTCGGGTTTAGAAGAAGAATTCATACCATGTACCATTGGATTAGATTAGTCTTTTTCTGCATTTAGTTTGTTCCCACGTGATGTATGCATGTAAGCCTATATAGGTTTTCTTTGATACGAATAGTGCGATTTTTTTTTCTACAACTTTAAAGTACACAATTTATACTTCATATTAGAAAGTGTTTTGTTCTCTTCTCCAAGTTCATTATATACGAGAGTTTAGAGTATAAGATTTGAGGCTTTCCAACCAACATGTTTTCACTACAACAATCAGACCCTATGGCGACAACAAATTCAGACCCTATCCAGATGACAAGTTGTTGGTACATGGTATGGCGACGATAAGTCGTCGGCAAAGGATCGCCGGCACAAGCGTGTTAGCATAGGTCCATTACGTTGTTGGCATAGATGTCATCGGCATAGCTTCACCTATTGTGACGACATGTCGTCGGTACAACTTTTGTCAACCATATTTTCGGAAAAAAAATAAAGTTTTATTAAAAACCTGTGGCTACGACATGTCGTCAGGACACCTATAGCAACGACAAGTCATCGCGAAAGGTTTCAACAATTCAGATGACATGTCGTCGCTATAGTGTTTTTAATGGTTGTTGGTTATGGACCTATAGCGACAACTTGTAGTCGGGATAGCTACTTGTTGTTTTTTTAGCTTTACATGTTTTGTACATTACCATTCCTACATTTTTAACAAATCCAAAAAACATTATAGCAAATATCAATTGAAATACATTAACTAGGTACCATTGTTCAAATTCAAAACATCAAATTCAAATTTAATATTACAATAAGTAGTTAAGTAACATTGTTCATAATACTAAAAAAAAACATCAACCATCATTGTCATAATCATCTTCTCCTTCTGCTTCTTCTCATTCTTCTTCTTCTCCTCCTCCTCCTTCTTCTTCTTTTCCTCCTCCTTCTTCTTCCATCATTTCGACAAATTGTTGAGACGTAGTTGCTTGTGTGTTATAGTTGAATAAAAAGTTAGGAAATGGTGGTGGTTGGAAGTTTGGAATACATGTCGCCAATGATGCATTATATTGTTGCAAATATTCTTGCATTTGTTGTGCAGCAAATTGGGATTGAGATTGGGATGATTTGGAAGTGGAAGGCCGTTCATTTGGAATTAAAACGAAGTTGGCAGTTGGTCGCCTACACACCCCGCGAGCATGTCCGTGTCTCGTCCCAAGGGTACGTTCTAAACATTCTTCCTCATTTACTTCTCCACCTTCCCCACTCTCGTTTTGCATTTTCTCATATTCCTCTTGAATTTTCTCCTAAAATAAAGAAAACAATTAACATACGTTAACTAAAACATACAACTAAACTTAAATATTAAAATAATAACAATAATATTCCTCAAACAAGAAACTATAATTGATAATAATATATTTAAACAACACATTCATTTCGTTTATCACTTACCCAATCTTCTTGTGCCCGAGTTGTACACCAACCCGAACCTTCTTTGTAGTGCATTTGTCTCCAACCCTCAATATGCTGCGGCTTGATTCCCATTTTTTTCTATAATAAGTGGAAAAACAATAAATATATTTTGACAAATGTTAATAACAATTTTAAATAATACTAATGTATTTTATTACCTCTAAATGACGTCGTTGAACATAAGGTCTACATCGGTGAGCACTTGTGTGCGGATGTTTCGACCTAGTAACTTTATTTTTAACCGATGTATGTTTGTATTCTTCGGTCAAAAACAACAAATCAATCATATCGTTCCAAGCTTCGGCGGTCCAATCAGGCAATGGATATCTTCATGCCCTTTCCACATTTTGGTATCCACCAACTCTATCAAAATGTTTTTTTATCTGACACTTGTGCTCTCGATAAGCTCTTTGCATATTTGCTTGGATGCTCGCTCGAAGGGGTTCCCACAAGTTTGTGCCTCGATACCTATTAATATCAAAATAAGTCTACAAAAGGAAAAACATATTTGATTAGTAAAAAAATATTTAATAAATGTAAAATTCAATACATATAAAATATAATGTATACTTACTCTAGCTCGGGATATAAATCATCTTTGTACTTGGTAGTAACACGATGCCAAGTATGATAATGCAACGGTACCTGTCATCCTACCAGATTTGAGATCAGTCTGACAAACATTTGCCTGTTGTCCCCTATAAATCGATATGCCTGCCCGGAGATATCAATTGTCAAATCGAAAGGCCTACACCTGTTTTTTTTTCATACTCATTATACAAATTTAAGTTTCTCCCTTTGCCACCCACATTCACGTTCATATTCTTCGCTTGTGCTATATTTACATATACAATTGGAAATTTAGAAATTTAAAACTTTAATACATCTAATACTTAAAAATTTCATATAACTTACAAGATTGGCAACCTGATGGTACACTGCGTGGAACCCCGTGTGGAGGTTTATCCCCACCGTCTCCTTCGTGTCCCCTTGGAACTTCTGCCACCTGTTTAACAAATATTTTAAACATTCAGAATATATAATAAAGCTACAAATATGCAACATTTCAAAATTTAACAAATATTATAAGCAATCACGATATATAATAACAATAACATATGTCAATCAGATTCATCACTAGAACAATATACATGTACAACATCATCATCACTGCATAGTTTTCATTATTTATTTCTTCTTCTGAAGAGTACGTATCATCATTGTCATTGTCATCGTTAATGAAATCGTCGTCGTTTATAGTAGGAGCAACATTCCTCCTAGCAACCACACTTGATTCACCAACTTCACCTAAATTCGTCTGCATAGGTAAGATGCCTAAGTTGACAACCAAGGTAAAATTAGTTGATTGAGTGTTGTTCACGACATCTATCTCATTCACAACACCGATACTTGGATGATTCCAAAGTTTTCAATGATGAACCTTTTCCAAAACTGTCCAGTTATTGTTTTGAGTGGGATCTTGGAGATAAAATACTTGTTTAGCTTGTGTGGCTAAGATGTATTGTTTATCATCATACCACATTTTACTGACTTACCATTCATGACTGGTATCGATAAGAATCATATTATTTATAGTCTTTAAACGTCCATTACGTAACGACGCATTGAACCGTTTGCCCTGAAAGAGTACAATTGATTTATTATATAAATAATGCAACTCTATGATCTCCTCTAATTGACCATAGAATGGTGTACCGTCTTCTCCGAATGTAACAACACCACTATTTTGAGTAGTGCGTTGGAGATCGTGATTATTCACGACAAATCGGACACCATTTACAATGCACGCAGTGTAAGAATATGCACACAACAGAACATATGCTAACTCCTTTAATTCGCCAGTACAATCCGAAGGCATATCTTTTTGGAGACAATAAATCTGTAAGGAAATATAAGATTGTATTTTTAAGTAATAAATTAGTTTTACATTATAAATATATAACATACTTACCTTTTCTTTGAACCATGAAGGAAATTCCTTTTTGATATCACTTTTAGGCAATTCTAATTTTAATTCACTGAATATGGGACAAAATAATTAGAATAGTTAAAACACTATCGAAAAGGTAGTTAATAGATCAGAGACTTACGATTTGTAGCTTCTCATCTCATCCTCATCGTAATTGTTTAGTACAATCCAATGCAATGATTTTTTGGCCTCTTTACAAAGTTCAACGATTTTCTTGGCCGACATTGTTCGACATTGTGATGAGAACACAAAAAATTGCCTTTTTGGAAGGTCGGGATCATCATTTCTATCAGCACAGTTAAATTTAGTTTGCATACCCTCAAGATACATAGAGCAGAATGTCAATGCTTCGTCTGCAACATAACCCTCTGCTATTGAACCTTCTGGTTTGGCTTTGTTTCTGAAATAATTTTTAAGTTTTTTAATATATCTTTCAAAAGGATACATCCATCTAATGTGTACAGGCCCTCCAAGAATGTCTTCATCAGGTAAATGAAGAATAAGATGAATCATTATGTCGAAAAATACTGGAGGATATATCAACTCAAGATTGCATAAGATCTTTACCACTTCTGTTATGGAATTTCTCATGTCGTTAACATCCAATGATCGTGCATAATTTTGTTTAAAGAATGTACACTGGTCAATAATTGTTCTTGAAACATTTGGTGGGAGACATGCTCGAACCCTTATAGGTAGCAATCGTTGCATGAGTACATGATGATCCTGAGACTTCAGCCCAACCAAATTTGATTCAGTATCATTAACCTTCTTCTTAAAGTTCGATCCAAAACCATCAGGTAGTATCACTCCTTTAATGAATTGACAGAAACGTTGTCGATCAATTGGTTTGAAAGAGTAAAAAGCATGTGGGAGTATTTCATTCTTCTTGTATTCATCCTTGTTATGTTTCTTCATCTGCTTGACTTTGTCTTTTGGCCATTGATCTGGTCTAATGCCCATATTTTTCAAGTCAATTCTTGCTTCTTTTTTGTCTTTGCTTTTATCGTTCATCAGTGCAGCATTCAGCACACTCTCATTCACATTCTTTGAAACATGCATAACATCGAAATTGTGTTTTAGGTCGAGGGAAGAGGAATACTCAAGCTCAAAGAAGATACGATGTTTCATCCAATTTAACTCTCTCTTTTTCTTTCATCGTCATACTTTCTTTTTTTGCCCCCATAATCAGGACGTTTCCCTGGAATTCGATCAGAGAGACAATTTACTTGCTTTAATATAGTTGCATTACTAAATCGTCTAGGACGCGGTCTTGTCTCAGGTTGACCATCAAACAATAGACTCTCCTTCTAACTATGGTTTATATTCAAGAATCGTTTGTGACCAACAATAAGACATCTTGTTGGTCACATAAATGGAAGATGTGTCTTCGTTACAAGTAGGGCATGCTAAATAACCTTGACCACTCCATCCAGACAGACTGCTATGTGTTGGGAAATCATTGATAGTCCATAACAACATCACACGCATATTGAATACATGGTGGTGTATTGTAGGTAGTCAATATAACCGGCCAAATACTATAATTGTTATTAAAGTTGCCGAATGGATTAAAGCCATCAACAACTAAACCTAAACGAACATTTCTAGGTTCTTTGGAAAACTCTGGATATCTCTTATCAAATTCTTGCCAAGACTTCCTATCTACCGATGATACATCATACCATCCGTTGATCTTCTAGTATTATGCCAAATCATATCTTTAGCTGTGAATCTGGAAATATACATCCATCGAAGTCTTGGAGTCAAAGGAAAGTAAAACAACACTTTATGTGGTACTCGCTTCCCCTTTGTGGTTGTGTCCACATATCTACCCTCGATACAAATCGGACAATGATGCATGGAATCATTCTCCTTCCAAAACAAAGCACAATCATATTTGCAAGCATGGATGGACTCATATCCTAACCCTATCTTTCTCAACTTTTTCTTAGCTTCATAGTGTGAAGTTGGAAATTCGCTCTTCGGGAAAGCAACTCTTAGCAACTCTACAAGTTGGTCAAATGAACTATTTGTCCACTTATTGATCACTTTAATATGCAACAACTTTGCCAAAAAGTTTAAAGAAGACATCTCACAATCAGGGTATAACTCAGTATTGAGCTCGTCAAACAAAGCATCAAATTCTGAGTCCATGCCTCGTCCTTCATCATCTGTATTTTCTTCATTTGTATTTTGTTCCGCCATAACATCATCAATTACATCAAACAACTCATTAGTTGTTGGAATGTTTATTGGAGTCGAATTGTAGCCCAAATCCGAAACAGAATGCTTCTCACCGTGATAAATCGATATAGTATATGATTTTAGAAACCCACGGTCATGTATATGGGCATAAACCGTACTCAACAACTGTCGATACATATTCACACACTTTACGCATGGACAACACACTTTGTCTTCAGAGTCAACATGTTTACTAGCAATCTCCATAAAGTTTTTAAGACCTTCCAAGAATTTTGGGGACGTTCGGTTTTCACGAATCCAACTCTTATCGATCGTCATTACTGTGTCATTATTAAAAATTAGATTGTATACATAGTTACAATAAACGTACTTTTATTAGTTTAAATATTTTTATATTTTGTTTACTTTCAATAAACGTACTTTTATTAGTTTAAATATTTTTATATTTTGTTTTATGTTGGTACTAGTAACGTTTGTTCTTAATTACAAACATTTTAACTTAAAAATTAGATTGTATACATAGTTAAATTGTATGACTTTTTGTTTGAGAAAAAAACAGACGAAATATTATTTTGTTTTTTTTTTGAATTACATCATTGTACTTTTAATATTTTTCTATAGCACCATACTTTAATAATAACGTGATTTTATTATTTTGTTTTATGTTATAACTTTCAAATAGAAATGAAAAAAAACAAAATAAAAAAAAAAGTATGTTGCTATTAATAAATTTTGTAGTTTAAATATTTTTTACTTAATAAACTTTACTCTTAATAAACGCACTTTTATTAGTTTAAATATTTTTATATTTTGGTTTATGTTGCTATTAGTAACGTTTGTTCTTAATAACAAATATTTTCACTTAAAAATTAGATTGTGTACATAGTTAAATGATATGACTTTTTGTTTGAGAAAAAAAAAACAGACGAAATATTATGTTGTTTTTGTTTTTCAATTACAACATTTTACTTTTAATATATATATATATATATATATATATATATATATATATATATATATATATATATATATATATATATATATATATATATATAAATTACTGCATTGTACTTTTAATATTATTTACTTTTTTTTTAGCACCATACTTTTAATAACAATGTGATTTTATTATTTTCTTTTATGTTATAACTTAAAATACTTTAATAAACAATATAATAAATGTATGTAGCTATTAATAACATTTGTTTGAGGAAAAAATGAGCGGAATATTATTATTATTTTTTTAATTATATCATTTTACTTTTAATATATATATATATATATATATATATATATATATATATATATATATATATATATATTTTCACATATAGAAAAAACTCTTATCAATCGTCATTGGATTATATATATATATATATATATATATATATATATATATTTTTTCAATTATAGCATTATACTTTTATTCACTTAAGCTAATAAATTAAACAAATAACACGACCATACATATTTTTCATTTAATACATAAAATTTCATACCAACCTAAACAAAGATCACAATCATACATATTTCACAATCATACAAAATTTCGATTTTATATAAACCTAAACAAGTAAATTAACATTGTATACATACAATTTCAATTTCATTTGAACCTAAACAAATTTGAATTTCATATAATATTTAACCACAATTTCATATGACCTAAACAAATTTGAATTTCATACAATTTCAATTTCGTATAAACCAAAACAAACAAACAATATACATATACCAAATAAACAATATACATATACCAAACAAAAAACAAGAATCACACATATATCAAACAACATAATTCTATAATCAAAACAGGATCAATTTCAATTTCAATTTAAATAAAAAATACAAAAAAAAAAAAAAAAAAAAAAAAAAAAAAAAAACCTAACTTGTGTTTGTTCTTCTTGCTGTGATGCGGACCACCCTTGTCAAAATCGATGTTGTGTTCGTGCAATAAAATACGAAGGGTGGTAAATGAGAAAACCTGGAATGATGGGCGTCGGTGAACAACTCATCATAGGGAAGCTTCAGGCAGTGGAAGACGGACAGGGGTGCTTCACCACTAGTGAAAGCCTCTAAATACCAAAAAAAATCCCCGAATTAGGGGTAAAAATCATTAGCACACATCAATATTCAATGAAATTGAAGTAGAAAAGGTTTACCTGAGGCTAATTGCCAGCTAGTGCTGTTAGAATCAGATTTTCGTCAGAGAGAAAGAGTTTGTTGCATCGCTGTGCAAATGAATGAAGGTTGCCCGCATTCTTTAGGTTAAACCCATATGCCGACGACATGTCGTCGGTATACGGTCAAATAAACGTTGTCGTTTCGCTTTTTGTTGAAACAAAAAAATAAAAAATTAAAAACCTATGGCGACGACAAGTCGTCGGGATAGCCCTGTGATGCGGATTGCCACGTGTCATGCCGACGACAAGTTGTCGGTATAGCATACACAAAACTACGTCATTTGTTTTTCTGGCATATGAATTAAAAATAAATGGAAAAAAAATATTTTTTTGATACCTATACCGACATCATGTCGCGGGTATAGAATTTTAGCATACCGCCAATATTGTTGTCGTTCCCACCACACTTTTGCCGACGGAATTGAGGTCCTGGTCAAAGTTCGCAAGAGGTATGGCGAGACTAGTTGTTGGGATAGGGCTACATTTAGGGACGACAATTCAGGACAAGTGTCGTCTGCATATCCGTATTGAGATATAGAATACACGAAGAAAAATTGGATATTTGATTTATATTAATTAACAAGTATTTGTGTAACTAAGATTACAAGGACCGGAATACAATAATTACATAAATATACATATGGACATGCAGATAGCTGTGCTTTGTGTGTTTCGTTCAGTTTATAACTTATATGCATAAACTGGAGATCTAAGCAGTTGGATACGATGAATCCATTGCTATTCCACATAGACCTTCTTTGGCACTAACATCTCTTTGCATCATTATGTATCCACTATCCCCCCAGCTGGCACCCCACGAATTTTTTACCAACC